ATAATGATAATTAAATCAATTCTCTTCAAAGTGTATTTTAATTTCCAGATTGTATCATTGATTTCTTGTAGTTCTTCAGTCAAATAATTTTCAACACTTTTCTAATTTTTTACTCTTCATGTCCCAATTTAAATTCATCAACTCTTCAAGAGTTTAATTTAATGTCATTGACTCTTGCAAGAGATTTTAGTATGTTGCAACAATATATAATGATAGTACTCAGGATAAGCATAATTTATGCTTTACCCTTCGGGGGCTTACTTCAAGCAATTTGAATCCTTCAGGGATTTTCTATACTTCATGACACATTTTCCTTTGGAATTTATACAGAGCAATTTGCTCCCATGTATACTTGAGGGATTTACTTATGGAGATATAATGTGGGCGACTCACAACCCTTCGTATATAATTCTCCATTCATATGAAACTCGTTTACAACCTTGTGTCATATCATGTAAGTGTATTACACTGTATTACAAATGCCCATATATAACCTCCTTGGTTCAACATCTTTTGGCTATTTGTATTGTATTCAAATATATATAGGTTCATTTGCCCACGTTCTTACAAAATTGTAATGGAATTGCCTTTCTCTATTTTGGCCAATAATTTTTCTTTTGTCGACGAACAAAAGAACGTGACTCAATATTAACACAGTTCATTGATGAATTTAGTAGCTACTTGTAAAAAACCAAAATTACCATTGGTTATCATCAATCCGTGATCCCATATTCTCATGTGCATGCGCATGCATAAAAGCTTTTCATTTCTTTGGATATCCATTGCCTCTTCAAGGGCATGACGCTATCTCTTCCAGGATAGTCATAATTGAGAGAATGTGGATCATAACCTCCTCTTGAGCGTTATAGAGCTTGGATTTTCTCCACTTCCGGGAGTTGAGTCTTTGGAACCTATACATCTATCATGCTACATGCATGAGACATCAATATTCCCATGTCTGTGGATTGTCCTATCTGGGACGTGTATCCATGCGGCGACTGTCATGCTTCTGGCATGCAACAGTTATGCTTCGGGAATGCAATAGTTCAGTAGTGCCATATTATTCTTCTTTCGAATAACTGAACCTTTTGAGTCTAAAAATCTGCCACGCTTCAGGCGTGCAACAGATAAATCATTTACTGTCTCATTATTTTATCCAACAGAGACATCAATTCTTGTAGGCACATTTGCAGTAAGTATATATGATTTCATCACTTTCGTTGTATCATTCAATTATCCATATTTCATTTTCTCATTGATTGCTTCGTGAATCAAAATAAGACAAATTCTCTTCGTTCTTCTGGAACGGTCTTTTCTCATCATTCTTTTGGAATGATATTTTCTCATCGTTCTTCTGGAACGATATTATTTTCTCCCCCTAATGTCAGGAAAATTGTCTTATCAAAATGACAGTCCGCAAACCAAGCGGTAAATATATCCCCAGTCAAGGGTTCTAAATATTGAATGATAGATGATGAATCAAATCCAACATAAATTTCCAGTTTTGCGTTGATGCCTTATTTTAGTATGTTGTGGCAGTGCAATAGGCACATTGATAACACAACCAAAAACTCATAACTGTATAATGTTTGGCTTGTGCCCAAACACAAGTTGTACTGAGTAGTATTGATGGTTGGAAACTGGTCTCATCCGAACTTAATAATGCGTCATGTAAAATGACATGTCCCCATGTAGAAAACTGGTAATTTCGTTTTCATGAGCAGAGCGCGGGTAATCAATTTCATCCGCTTAATAAATGCTTCTGCTAAACCATTTTAAGTATGGACATAAGGAACTTCTGGTCCTTATTAAATAGTCTATGGACTGAGATTTTTATGACCTTTATTATAATTAAGTTGAGGCACTGTGGCACTTCAAACTTACGGTACTCATCAAGGAATTTCATATCCTGATCTTCAGGATCAAAGGACTTCATGCCTGATCTTTTTGTATGATGGAACTTCGGGTTCTATCATTTTATGTGATGAGGATCAAGAAACTGCAGGTTCTGATCTAATCAAGGAACTCTGGGTCCTTGTTATACTCATTATAACAAAAGATAAGTACAATAAATAAATTAAAGCAATAGACGGTAATTCCAGCCATAATGAATAAACAGCATTTAAGTAAATAAAGCTTATGACAAGGGCTTTAATTCAGCACCATCAAAACTTAAAGCAATAGGCGGTAAAACCGTCCATGGTAAATAAATTGCTTTAAAGTAAATAAAGCTTGTGACAAGGGCTTTGATTCAGCACCATTCACATAAATATCAAAGCTTTAAAGCAAAGGGTAATAATTCTACCCACTATAAATAAATTGCTTTAAATAAATAGAACTTGTGACATGGGCTTTAAACCAACACCATGCACATAAATATGCCAAAACAGAAAATGCAATGATTAAGTCCTCATGTTTTGCTTTTTCATTTTCTTGGTCTGCCACTTCTTTTGTTTCATCCCTTTTATTTTTATTATTATTTCACAGTTCGAAGTCATTTTTTGGTTACTCAGTAAATAATAGTAACAATAAGTTCCAATTGGGTTCCTCCTCCGGTGAGTTTCGAAAAAGTCGAAACGGTTCCCATAAGTTTTGGAGTCAAGAGTGTCTGCAACTTATGAGAAGATCAAACCGTTAGATTTAGTTCAAAATTTAGTATGATATGGATAAGAGGATACCAAACAACTTTCGTGAAGAAACAATTTCGATTTGAGCTACCGAAATGGAGTTTTGGTACTCATAAGGTGGCTGCCCAGTTTTCTGCGGAAATTGGAAACCGGTTTGGTATTTCAGACATCTGCCACGATCGCACCGTTAACATTTTCTGAAATTTTGATATGTTGTAGATACTGAGCAGACGAACAACTTTCAAGAAGAAAGTATTTCAATCCGAGGTCTGCAAGTTGGAGTTCCGAGGCTATTTACATGGCTGTCAAATTCTCTTACAAATTTTTTTAGTCTTTTACTCTTTTGCTTCTGCAAAGGATGATATACAGTCATATAACAATATATATAGTTGCTTCAAGAAAATCAATTGTACTGAGATTTGAAGATGAAATGAAAATTGTTTCTTATCTGTGAGATTCCAGCTGAAGGAGGTGAACAGGATTTGTGGCGTTGTGCTTTCCACTGACATGAGAGCTTCTCGTGCTGATAACGTGTTGTAAAATCGACTGTGGGTGCAGTGGAATAAATGAAACAAGACACAAAATTTACGAGGTTCCTCTACAGTCAGTGTGACTGGAGTACGTCCTCGGGGCAGCAGCGGTGCTTTCATTATAATTTGAAATAATAGGAGTACAAAGATAACTCTCTCTATTATCTCCTCTCATCTTCCTCTATTCTCTCTCTTCTTCTCTTCCTCTCTCTTCCTCTTCCTTCCTTCCTCTCTTTCTTTCCCGTGAACCCCTTTCTTCCTCTTCCTCTCATTCATTTTATAATCAAAGAGGACACTATTCACCTTACAAATTTTCCACAAATGAATAGTGAAAATAATGTGAATAAATAGTAACAAACTATTCATGTGGGCCATCCACATAATATTTACAACAGCTTATACTTTGTACAAACGAGCTGTTACAAATGATTATAAATTTGGAAATGATTTCCATACTCTCATTTTTCCCATCCTCTGTTGGATTCAGGACAAACATGACATCTTTGAAAAGTCATGTTTCAATCTAAAGTTCAAAGTAGCATGACAAACTGAACACAAATAGTACTATTACTATTTTTTAAACTGAACATTGATACTATCACTATTTCTCAAACTGAACACGGATATTATCACTATTTTTTAAACTGAACACTAATATTATCACTATTTCTTAAACAGAACACTAATACTATTATTATTTATTAAACTGAACACTGACTATTTCTTAAACTGAACACTGACTATTTCTTAAACTGAACGCTGATATTATCACTATTTTTTAAACTGAACACTGACTATTTCTTAAACTGAACACTACCAATTTCTTAAACTAAACGCTGATATTATCACTATTTCTTAAACCGAACATTGATACTATCACTATTTCTTAAATTGGACACTGACTATTTATTAAACTGAACACGAATACTATCACTATTTCTTAAACTGAACACTGACTATTTTTTAAACTGAACACTACCAATTTCTTAAACTGAACGTTGATATTATCAATATTTCTTAAACTGAACACTGACTATTTTTTAAACTGAACACTACCAATTTCTTAAACTGAACGTTGATATTATCACTATTTCTTAAATTGGAACATTATATTATCTAATTGGACACTAACTTAAACTGAACACGCATACTATCACTATTTCTTAAACTGAACACCGATGCTATCACTATTTCTTAAACTGAATATTGACTATTTCTTAAACTGAATGCTGACTATTTCTTAATTTGAACGCTAATACTATCACTATTTCTTAAACATAACACTTATACTATCACAATTTCTTAAACTGAACACTAATACTATTACTATTTCTTAAAATGAATACTGATACTATCACTATTTCTTAAATTGAACACTGACTATTTATTAAATTGAACACGAATACCATCACTATTTCTTAAACTGAACACCGATGCTATCACTATTTCTTAAATTGAACATTGACTATTTCTTAAATTGAATGATGACTATTTCTTAAACTAAACACTAACTATTTCTTAATCTGAACGCCGATACTATCCCTATTTCTTAAAATGAACACTGACACTATCACTATTTCTTAAACTGAACATTGATACTATCACTATTTCTTAAACTGAACAATGACTATTTATTAAACTGAACACGAATATTATCACTATTTCTTAAAATAAAAACTGATTATTTCTTAAAACTGAAAATTGACTATTTCTTAAAATAGTGAGTAGAGAAATAACATTTCAATTATTTTGGTTCAGTTTCAGAAATAGTGTGTATTATTTTGCTATAGTTCCAGAAATAGTGTGGGTTATTTTAAAATAGTTCCAGAAATAATGTGTTATTTTGTGCGGAAAGCAATATCAATTTCGGATACTCAAGCTCTAATTTGTACACATAATTCAACACCTGTGGAAAGAAGAAACCAGTTTGTAGAAGACATTTCTACTTGTTACATAATCGAATGTTGTATATAAGACAAAACCTAAGAACCCCAAAGAGCTGAGAAAGGCCACAAGCACAAGGTTAAAGGCTTGCATGTTGCCTATATAACTTCATTTCTCATGGAGGTCCAATGTACCCCACAAGAACTGTTCGTCATGCGGCATGGGATGTATTAGATTTGCTTTTCCCGTTGGCGGATACCCTCGGCATCTTATAAGCATGTTGATTGCTATATCCATTATGGACATTCCCCTTCCTCTTCAAGCATGTGCTTCTACTCCACTGCAACATGTATTGTCAGATCAAATTTCATCAAAGTGCCAATCAAGATACACAAATTCACACAGATTTCAATACCAACTTTTTCATCATTTCTCATCAACGAAGCAGAAAAATAAAAAACAAACAAATTTGATTCGGTTTAGTTTACTAGTGCTAAATCGTTAAAGCACTAACCTCTAGAGGACCATTCAAAGATGAATGGATGGGATGGAAAATATACAGAACCAAAGTCTCCAAATCATATGTTGAAATCAAAACATGATGGCACCAAGAATTCGACTCCCATAATAGCACTTTGCCTTAATTATTATGCTACTGCGTTTGAAAAGATGGTCTTTGCCAATGAAGTGATCAACCCATGCAATAAGAAGCACGATGGATATGTTTAGGGAAGCCAATTAACAAGGGACATAAATTCCAAAAAATCACAATCCACTCAGATCACCAAAAGCATACCATAAGATCAAAGTAAAACTATGACTTGAAAAAGACAAAAGCGGGAGAAGTCACCACTCCACAGAGTACTACTAATTGAATACCATTCAAGATTATCGGTTATAAGGCATAATTCAGCATATACTTTCAACAAAAGACTTGAAAAATAAGTTTCATTAGACAACTCAGAGCTTCCATAAAAGAATCCGATTATATGAATGAAATCTGATAAATCATTCAATTCATATGTGACAAATTGAACTTCATTTTCAATTCAGCTCTGTGTGAATGACTCCCTGCTCATGAAAGCACATCGTACATAGCTCTCCTAACTGATTGAAGGAACTATCGACCCCAATGTTACAAGCTTGACTTGCCACAGCAAAAACAAATAGTCTTTGCAGAGGAAAATCACAAGTTTTTTAAATAGAATCAAAATAATGACTAATGACATAGACACGCACGTAATGATTTAATTCAAGGAAAATGCAAGTTACACAACATAAACTCAACACAAAAACTTTACTAGACATAGATGGCAGCGTCAACACTAAGTTGTAACTTATACTTATCATCAATCTAATAAAATTACGAGGTAAAAGCTTAAAACCTCTGCCCGAATCCATCGGACATCTTTCACCATAAATTAAGAGGCAAGGACATCGCATATGTCATTGGCCAGCGCCTTCTCAACATTCATACCACCCAAAGCAGTCAAATCAATATCTCCATCTGGCAGATACGTCTTTAGAGGTACAACTAAATCGCGGCAAGGTAAGTTTCAGCTCCATACAACAAATTAATCTAAACAAACAATTTATATGCAGAATTCAACTTCACCCAAATAAATTTTCATGCCCAATTCATAAACTATACATACAAATATATCAGAAATTGGTTGTTTTGTCGCTCAATAAGCACAACAATTTGAATAAAAAAGTCAAAGACAAAGATTTATACCTTTGTTTTCTGAGATTTGTGCTCAGATCCTTACCAAATATTAGATGCATGCACATAAATATCTAAGTCTATAATAACATGAAACAAAGAAAAGAGATGCACATGGAGAAATAAAATACAGAGTAACAACTTCAATCTGAACAATCGAGACGGTGAATTTCCGATCGCAGTTGTTGTCCTTGCTTAGAAGATCTGCAACAAAAACCAGAATGCATCGTTTTATATGCTAATTACGCTCAATCGAGAGACAAAAAATGGTAGAAAGATCGCAGAGACGAAGAGAAAGAGTGAAAACAATTGCTTAACGTTGGCTTTTTTGCCAATGGTGAAAACTTCAGGTCCTTTTCTCATCTTTACAGAAGATAGACAGAGTGAGAAATTTTGGAAGAGGGTGTAACAAAATCATACCATTTTGCATGTCGGAGATCCTCTGCGATTTTGATAGAGACAGAGATGGAGCTGCGATGCGAGATTAGAAAGAAAAATGGAATGTCTTGAATGCTAGGAAGAAATGAGGGAGAAAGAGAATAGCAGAGAGAATGAGAGATCCATAAATGAAGGGAGATATTAGACGGAGGTAGGCTCTGCCGTCAGGGACAAAATCGGAAAGTCAATATTTGGGCCATTTTAATTGGACTGGTTTAGTGTTGGGCTTTATCCTAACCATTAAATAAAGTTAGTATATGGTTTTTTTGTTAACATTCAAAATTTTCAAGTCATTTTCATTAGTTTTTCTTTATTTTAATTCAATTGAGGTGGACGTTTTTGCATTCACATCCTTAAATTTCTCAACGTAGAAGATACTAGAAGGTCGTGTCGATTCTGATTCCATACATACCCTTCCCCGCTTGTAAAGAATATTGGTATTGGATGAGAATTCAACTGAGGGATATATAAATGGAATACAATAATTAAATTAAATAAAGGCCTTTTCAATGAGTCATACAGTTGAAATTACGTAAGCAGGGGCCACGTGTCAATGTGTAGGAAGATTACTATTAGTTCATCGTGTAGGAGTTTGCTTTTGCAGTTTATCAGATTTTGTTCGTTAAAAAAAAGTAATGTTAAGAAGATTGAATTTATAAACTAAATTAATTATTGTAAGATTTAATTAGCTTGTGAATTAGTAGTTTTTGCATATCATGTTTTGTCGAATATCTGATGTAGTAAATGCACGTGTCAACTTTCAACGTATCTCATAATTCATAAAATGCTTGAAACAAGGAAAAAGAATTTTAGAATACGACGGTCACATAAACATAGCCACGGAATCACAAATTACTTTCATTTGAATTTTGAAAGCATTGCCTGCCATTTGGGAGCCTTGGTGACGTTTTAATTGGGGTACTTCTTTAGATTATCGGCTTGATATTCTTTCTTCCTCACGCGATGTTAGCCGCCCGCGTACAAGCGCGCGACTGCCTTCTACGAAACAACCACTCCACCCATCTGCCCTTTTTTCTATACGTGTATATATATATACAGTAATATTCATACCATGTTTTTATACCATATTTTCATACCACGTTAGGTGACATTTGATGTGAACAACCATATAATTTGAATTAATCAGATTTTTAAATTTAGTTCATTATTTAATAAACTAATAATTAAGAAAAACTAGTTAATTAAATGTTGATTGTGGTATAAGTCTTTCTTCTTCATTTCCTTGGGTTTTACAAATTTTTTAAATGATGTGGCTATCCACATCAAATGCCATATAAGGTGGTATAAAAATATAGTATAAAAATATGATATGAATAACATTATATATATATATATATATATATATATATATTCATCATCCATCGTCTTCTAAACCAACAACTCAAAGCAGCAACTCAGAGCCTTCCAAGTATTTTGGTTATCTAAAGTTCTAAACATCCAGACCTTCGCCCAGGCCTGGCCCAGGCCCAGTGTTGGCAGAGCGATCATTCGGGGTCCAAAATAATTGAGGGTACCAAAATTATTAGGGTGATATATTTATATATGTTTTCATAAAAGTATAAATTCATAAACTTTGGTTCAATGACAAAGAAATTTAACTAGAACTTGTGGTTTTGTTGTTTGAAATTAATGAGGAGGTCTTAGGTTCAAAACACCATGTGTGCTTGTTTACATTTCAATTTTTTCAAATTTATTTTCATAAATATATAAAATTTGGCTAAATAATCAAAAAGTTTAATTAGAATCAATGGTTATTGTTGTTTAAAATTAACAAGATCCCAAGTGCATGTTTATTCTTTTTAATTTTTATGAATTTTTGTTTGGTTGTTAATTTATTTTTAATTAGTAGCTAGCAGTTATGTGGGTTGTTATTTTTAAACATTTGTTCAAATTCAGGTCTAATCTTCAACAAAGAGTAATGCGTTGACCAAATTTTGAGACCAAATTTGCAAATCATATGACGTGTCGTAAAAAAGTTTAATTTAGTACCCATTTATTACTTATACATATCATTTAAAGACTAAAAAACATCATTATTTTTAATCCCAAATTGACAAGGTTAGTAAATAAGAAAAAAACACCTCACGATTTATACAAAAATACTTTAAAAGTTCAGATAGAAAACAAAACTCATATCTATCTGCTTGTAAACCTGGAGATTTTTTTTTCTCACGATACAAAATAAATTAGTTTTTCTGTGTTTCTAAATTATCAAGTTTGAAGTGATTTTCTAAGTATAATTTTATCGATATCTTACATGTAAAAACAAATAATTTTCTTATATAAAGTAAGGGTTGTTGTGAACATTCCTAGTTTAAGTATGATTGTGTAAATCCTAGATTAGATTCGATTCTAGTTATCCTTTCCTATTACAACTTGTATTACTTGGAGAAGAAGGAATATCTTCTCTCCCTGTACTACTATAAATAAAGGCACAATGTAGGAGGGATAACAACACATATTCCCCTACAATTCTACAAACATACATCTCTCTTCCCTCTCTCCTGTGCCGCCGGCCCCTCTCCCTTTGTCAGATAAAAATAGACCACAACACGTTATCAGCACGCTCCTACTGCTGCGCTTAGGAATCTGACGTTGGAGAATTTTTTCTGCATCAATATCATCACGCAATCAGGTTCTTTCAAAACAACGGCTTTTAACTCGATATTTTGCAAGCCTTGATAGCATGAACATTCACCATGATGCATGACCCAACTTTACGCTTAACGTATTTTAGATTCCACATAAATTGTGTATGCCTCATAACCAAAATTGCTGCAATTATGTGAATTTGATATTTGTCATGAATTGAATCTTACATATGTACATGCATTGAAACTATTATTTGCATATGCATCAAAGTAAATATGTGATTCATTGAATTATACATGCATATAATCTAATTGAATTGAAAAGAAATTTTTTTTCTCTCGTGATTAGGACCAGGGTTCTATCGAACCCGTGACCACCATCCTGCAGATGGGGTCTTCACACAAGCAAAGAGCATGCATCTCTCCTTCTCCCCAGAAAAACCCACGGAGCCAGAAGCTCGGAGGCTTAAAATCAACAAAACCTAACACCTTTCACGGTGTCCTCGACCTCGGCATGGCCTGTAGCCATTGCCTTGAACCTTTGGTTCATGTCGCCGACGACCAACAATCGTCCCACGTCAAAAATTAGACTGAGATTTGCCGGAATCTCATCGGGATTTTTTTGAAATTCCAATTCAATTTTTTTTAAGGTTTTGATTGGAACACTTGCGATTTTAATATCTCCATGTTATATTCATAGTCGAAAACACCCCAGACGGGTATCCACAAGTATTCCCGTCCAATATTAGGCCACCTACAGTGACGCCGAAGTTTAAAACCCGGCCTTCTTCCTCGGCTAAGCACACCCAGTGCCGCTGGGTTGTTCTGTCCCCATCAACCCGAGCCCTAGTGGGCTCCAGCCCCTCGGCCCATGCGAAAGAAGAAAAAAAACATTTTTTTTGTTTTCTGGGCTCGCCTGCAGCGCCCCAACCTGAAAGAAAAGAATTTTTTTTTTGGGCCAGCCTGAAGCGGCCCGCGAAAAAAAAAGGTTTTTTTCCTGCTTAAAGCAACCCAGTCCACCCCGTGAGCCTGCAGCTCACCTCGAGACCCTTTCTAGCTCAATCTTTTTGGGCATATGTCTCACAGACCAATTCTTCAAGCCACCCGTGGCTTAGTGTTTTCTTTTGGACCTCGAATTTCTTTTGTCTAAATTATTTTAGACCTAATGGGTTTTATATTTTCCCCACACTTTAATTTGGCCTGAAGTCCAAATAATTAATTTAATTATAATTATACAATACTTTTGCATATACTTGTTGCATATTTGTTTGCATATATTTGCGTTTGCCTATAAGAATATATGAACCTGAAGTTCATAATTACTTTGAAACCTGAAGTTTCTTATAAACATACCTTGTTTGAAAACTTGAAGTTTTCACTTAAACATATCACTCATGAAAACCCGAAGTTTTTCATGCAAAATTAAACCAATACATGTCTATTAGAGCCTGTATGTTCTACTCCTATGTGAATGGATTGATTTTTCTCCATTACACTAACCACATCTTGTCCATCTATTTTGTGATCGGAACATGTCGAATTTGAACAAACTCGACTTTACCGCTTTGGAGGTCTCCGGAAGGAACTACCTTAAGTGGGTTCAAGATGTGAAGCTCCACCTCACTGCAAAGAACTTGCGTCCTACTATTGCAGAAGCAACAGATAAACCTGTTGGCGAAGCTGAAAAAAGCCATTGCTATGATCTTCATCCAAAGACATATCCATGACGCTCTGCAAACTAAGTACTCTGCTGAGGAGGATCCACATGCATTATGGGTCGCTTTAGCTGATCGTTTCGATCACCAAAAGGACATATTCTTACCTGAAGCAAGACACGACTAGCAGCACTTACGCTTCCAAGACTTTAAGTCTATGAATGAATATAATTCTGAAGTTTGTCGAATCCGATCACTTCTCAAGTTTTGCAATGAAACTTTGACTGAAGAGGATTTCCTGGAGAAGACCTACTCGACCTTCTTTGCCTCTAATATTGTCCTGCAGCAACAATATAGAGCTCAGAAGTTCACCAAGTTCTCATATTTGATCTCTGTTTTACTTCTTGCTGAAAAACAGAACCAGCTATTGATGAAGAATCATCAAGCTCAACCTACTGGGGCTACTGTTGTGCCTGAAGCATATTATAGCACTAATCTGCACCCAACACGCCAAAAGAGGCGTGGTATGGGTGGTTAGAAGCCATCCCATAAAGGTCAACAGAGCCAAGGCCCGTATAAGGGAAGAAACAAAGCCCAGAAGCGCCCAAACCTCGCTCTCAAGGCCCCGAACTTTAAGAATAAGGGCAAAGCACCCACAACCATAGATGACGATATGTGCTATTGCTGTGGTTCAAATGACCATTGGTCCCGTGTTTGTCGAGCTCCCAAGAAGGTTCTAGATGAATATCATTCTCGTCGTAAGAAGTTTGAATCAAACTTCATGCAAGTGGACGAACCGAAGATTACAAAAATGGAGGTTTCTG